GGGGGGGGAGATCCGAGGAGAGGTAATAGCAGGGGGAGGGGATGGGATACTGGGCGAGTGTGGATGCTTGGCTGTGGCGTCGGCCCCTCGCGGCCAGCGGCCGGGGTCCCCTTTTCATGCGGCCCTGGCGAACATCCCACAGCCCAGGGCGGGGGGGGGGGAATGTCCCGGCTGCCCCGGGGCGGCGGGGCGTCTGTGCGCATGCTGTGTGCCGGCTCCGGGGACATGCGCGCCGGCCAGGGCGATCATCGCGGCGCGGGCGCTTGCCGAGGTGCTTGCCCGACATCCCCCTCCGGGGTCCCCGGCGCGCGTACACACACACACACACACACCCAAACCAGCCGGGCGGGAGGATGCGCCAGGATCCGGCCCTGCGTGGGAAGATTCCCGCGCCTTCTGGGGTTGCTCCCTCTGCCCTGCTACCCGCGCAACTGCCACAGGGGCGGGGGCGGGGCGCGCAGACGGCCGGGCGCTCCGCGACACCGGGCAGTCTTCTTCACGCCCGGACGCCCGCCACGCACAGAGGGAGCGAGGGGCGGCGGGATGGCAGCCATGTGAAAATGGGCCGCCATGGCTCGCACGAGTATCGTGCCCCGGCACGGCTCGGGCCTGCTTAGTGACTTGCTTGCCCCTGCCCCGCCCCGCCCCGCCCCGGGCGCGCACTGATCGGCGGACGGGCAACAATCGCACCGATGATCGACCGATTGCCCAGCTGTCCTCTCCACCGCCGGAGGCCTCCAGGGGCCAACACCGGTCCCGGCGCACGCACGCACGCATGTGTGCGCACGCACGCCTGGGCCCGGGCGGCCCCGTCGGACGGCCCAGGCTCCGCCGCCGGCCCCCGCGCCCTCCCCCGGGGGGGGAGGAGGGCCCGAGAGAAAGAGCGAAAGAGGGGGGTCGAACGCGCGAGACCTCACCCGAACGACGGAAAAAGAAAAAAAAAAAGAAAAAAGCACCCGCAGGCCGGGAGATAGAGCACCCCCTCTGACGAGAGGGCCTACTGTCCAGCTTGGCCCGGGGGGCCGGCGTGACCTGGCGCCCGGCCCCGGCGTGATCGGCCGTCGGTGTCCCATTTTACGCAGGCCCTCACGTGCGTTGGCATCTATCAGGCGCCCCGCCTTTTGCCGGCCCCAGATGCGCACAGGGGGGAGGGGGGGGGCGTCCAGGAGAACCCGCCGGCCCTGGCCACCGGGCGGCGGGCGTGTGTGTCGTGTAGATGCGCGCGCCTCGGCCTAGACACCCCCCCCCCCCCCCCCCCCCCCCCCCCCCCCCCCCGCACACACACACATGTAGGGTGCTTGCGCCCGGGCCGCCGCCCCCCCAGGGGCCATCGAAGAGATGCCGACTGCCGGTGGCTGAACCGCGTCGCGCGCTGGGGGCACCCCCTGCCCCTTCCTCTCCCCCACGATCCCTCCTCCCTGTGGCGCGTGTGCCGGCCTCCTCTCCCTGCGCCCCTCTCCTCCTTCTCCTTACGGATGCTTCGATCTTCAAGTGGCCTCCTCCGGCTCGGCCTGCTGCGCGGCGCGGCGCCGGCCGCCCGAGCCCGGGCGCCCCTCCCCTGGATGAGCGGCGCCCCGGCGCGGCCGCTGCGCCCGCTCGCCGGCGCCCTCTTCAGCTCGGATGCGGTGCGTTCGGCCTCCTGCCCCGCGCTGTGGCTGCGCTTGTGCTGCTGCCTGTCACTCACCTGCCCCCTGCTTCGCGCAGTACCACTACCACCCGGGCCCGATCGAGACCAAGTGGCAGGCCATCTGGAAGAAGGCTGATGCGGAAGTCGCCGCGGCCGGTGGCTCGGAGCCCCTCTTCAACGTGCGTCTTGGGTCCTGCTGGCGCGCATGTGTGTCTGTGTTTGTCAGTGTGTCAGTTTGTTTGTGTTTGTCTGTGTGTCTGTGTCTGTCTGTATGTCTGTGTTTGTCTGTGTTTGTCTGTGTTTGTCTGTGTGTCTGTGTCTGTGTGCCTGTGTGTTTGTGTACCTGTGTACACAGGCAGCGCGGATCTCTCGCGCTCGCGCCCCTCCCCTCATGGCCCTCTGGGCACAGGCACATTCCCGCGCGCCCCGGGGTCGACCCCCATGCTGACGCCTACGCCCGTCCGCCCGTCCGCCCGTCCGCCCGTCCGCCCCCGCCCCCCCCCCCCCCCACCCCACCCCACCCCCCACAGTCCATGGCCGGCAAAAAGTACGTCCTCTCGATGTTCCCCTATCCCTCGGGCCACCTGCACATGGGCCACGTCCGGGTGTACACCATTTCCGATGTGGTGGCGCGCTTTGCCCGGCAGCAGGGCCTCAATGTGCTGCATCCGATCGGCTTCGATGCCTTCGGCCTGCCGGCGGAGAATGCGGCCATCGAACGCGGCATCGCCCCGGCCGAGTGGACCCGCCGCAACACGGCGCACATGCGCGAGCAACTCCGCACCCTCGGCATCCAGTTCGACTGGGACCGCGAGCTGAGCACCTGCGACCCGGGGTATTACCGGTGGACGCAGTGGCTCTTTGCCGAGCTCTTCCGCAAGGGGCTGGCCTACCGGCAGGAGGCCGCCGTCAATTGGGACCCGGTCGACTGCACGGTGCTGGCCAATGAGCAGGTGGATGCCGAGGGTCGCTCCTGGCGCTCCGGGGCCCTGGTCGAGCGCCGGCAGCTGCGCCAGTGGTTTGTCCGGACCACCAGCTTCGCCGATGACCTGCTCCACGATTTGGAGTCGGTCGACTGGCCGGAGAATGTCAAGCAGATGCAGCGCAATTGGATCACCTACGGCCGGTATGCGGTCACCCTGCCGGCGGTCGATGTGGCCCCGGGGCTGGTGGCCGCCCTTGCGGCCGGCACCGGCACCGGCGCCGGCCGCGGCACCCCCAGCAAGACGCCCCCTCCGGCCATGGAGGTGTCGGTGGCCAGCCTGCTGGAGCTGGACGCCGCTGGGTTTGTGGTCGTCGGCCCGGGGCACCCGCTGGCCGAGGCGGCCCGGGCCCTGGACCCGGAGGGTGCCACCGGCCAGGCCGTCAGCCGGCTGGCCGAGGCGCTGGCCGCCGGGGGCCCGGTCGATGAAGACCCCGCCACCGCCAACATGGCGGGGGTCCTGCTGCCGGGAGTGACGGTGACCAGCCCGCTGGACAAGCACCGGCGCCTGCCGGTCTATGTGGCCGCCTATGCCGACATCCTTGGCCGGCGGCAGGACCACGCCCTGGCCGGGGCCGACGGCGTGGCCGACGGGGAGGCCGACCTGGAGAAGGTCCACCTGCCGCGGGCCTTCCTCGGGACGGCCGGCTGCTCGCTGGCGGTGGCCTTTGCCCGGGAGCATGGCCTGGACCTGCCGGCGGATCGGCCCCTGCGCGGGTCCGCTGCCCATGCCCGGCGGCAGGAGGTCTTCCGCGCGTTGGACCGCGACCGGCGCATCCGCCACCCCCTGCGTCTTCGGGACTGGCTGATCTCGCGCCAGCGCTTCTGGGGCTGCCCCATTCCGGTGGTCTACTGCCAGGACCGGTGCGCCGGGTCCGGCGAGGAGGGCGCGGTCCCGGTGCCGGATGCCCAGCTCCCGGTGTCCTTCCCGGAGTCATCTTCGCCGGAGAAGCTGGCCGGCCGGTCGCTCGGCCAGCTGCTCGAGGAGTGGCGCCATACCACCTGCCCCTGGTGCGCTGGGCTTGCCCTTGCGGCCTCTCGCTTTTCGCCGCCGTCGCCGCCGCCGCCGCCGCCGCCGCTCTGCTCCCTTTTGCCCCTCACTCACCTGCCCCCTCTCCTCCTTCCCGTGTGCGACCATGCCCCGGGCCTCGGTGGCCTGCCCCGCGCAAAGCTGCAACGGCCCGGCCCTGCGCGAGACCGACACCATGGACACCTTTGTCGACTCCTCGTGGTACTTCATGCGCTACTGCGACCCGCACAATGACAAGCAGTACGTCAAGCCCGGCCGACCATGCATCCTCTCGCCCCTGCTCACACCGAGACCCCTTGTGGCTGACGCGGCGCTCTGGGCAGAATCTTCGACCCGAAGCAGGTGAACCAATGGATGCCGGTGGACATCTACGTCGGCGGTGTGGAGCACGCCATCCTGCACTTGCTCTATGCGCGATTCATCACGAAGTTCCTGCACTCCGAGGGCCACATCGAGTCCACGGTGGAGCCCTTCCAGAAGCTGCTTGTCCAGGTGCGTGCCGCTTCGGGCAGGCATGCCTCCCCCCCCCCCCCTGTGCCCCTCCGGCCTCGGCCTCCTCTGCCTCGCGTGTCCCGCGTGCACGCTCTCGCGCGCTCGGCCAGCCTGCCGGCGCCACACGCCCCGCTCGGCCCCGCCCCGCCCCGCCCCGCCCCCATGATGCCCCTATTGCGCAGATCTCCTCACACGCCCGCACACGCGCATGGCCGCACCCTCACACAGGGCCTCGTCAATGGGGCCACCTACAAGTCCCCGGTGACCGGGGCCTACCTCAAGCCGCATGAGGTGGATATGACGGTCGACCCGCCGGTGGACATCGCCTCCGGCCAGCCGGCTGCCATGACCTTCGAGAAGATGTCCAAGTCCAAGTACAATGGCGTGGACCCGGAGGTGGCGGTCAGTGCCTTCGGTGCCGATACCGTGCGCGTGTTCATCCTCTTCAAGGCCCCCTACGAGCAGGTGCTCGAGTGGGACGACAAGGCGGTCGCCGGCCCGGCCCGGTGGCTGCGCCGCGTGTGGGCCCTGGCATCCGAGCATGCCGAGGGCGTGCACGCGGCCGGGGGCCCGCCCGCGCCGCCGGCCGCCAGCCCGGCCGATCGGTCGAGCGCCCTGCTGCAGCTCCGCGCCCTGACCCATTCCACGGTCGAGCGCATCACTCGCACCCTCTCCGAGACGTACACCTTCAACCTGGCCATCTCCGACCTGATGAAGCTGACCAATGCCCTGGCCGAGGTGGCCGAGGAGGATCGTCGCTCGCCGGGTGCGTGTCGCCCCTGCCCCGCCTCCCGCCCCCTCCTCCCTCCCTTTTTCGCCTGCCACAGAGCCGCATCCCTGTCTCCCCGCCCCTGGCGCATTTGCTGACCGCCGGCTGGATTCCCCGTCCGGACTATTTGCCCTCTCGCTGTCCTTCCCTTTCCCCTTTCACTCCTCCCGCGATTGGCTTCCTGCGTGCGCCCGGCCGCAGAGTACCACGAGGGCGTGGTCCACCTGCTCCAGATGCTGGCCCCCTTCGCGCCCCACATTTCCAGTGAGCTCTGGGAGACCATCCACCCCGGGTACGTCTTCTGGCTCTTTTCATTTTTTCTCTCCCCAGCGCAGCCAGCCCTGACCACTTGGCCGCGCGCCCTCTTGGCCGCTCCGCTGCCGCCCAACGCGCACCACCTCCCCTCCCTCCTCTCCCTTACCTAACCTCATGCCTTGCGCACACACACACACACACACACACACACACACACACACACACACACACGCACAAACACCTCCCCCTGCCCAGTGAATCCATCACCGAGGCCGGCTGGCCCAAGGTCGATCAGAAGGCCATCCGCGATGCCGTCGAGCTGGTCGACATCACCCTACCGGTGATGATCAATGGCAAGAACCGCGGCCGGGTCGTCTACACCCCCGGTCAGCTGGATGGCAAGGCGCTGCAGCAGCATGTCGAAGCCCTGGCCCGAGCTGTCCCCACCATCAACGGCCACCTCGCCGACCAGACCATCGACAAGGTCATCTTCGTTCCTGGGCGCCTGCTGAACTTCGTGCTCGAGAAGAAGTGAGTGCGTTGGCAGTGGGGCGATCGGCGCGCCTGTTGCGGCCCCCCCCCCCCCCTTGCCCCCCGCTTGTCCGGGGCGAGACGCGGGGGATGGCCAGGCCGAAGCTACAACTGGGGCATGGATGCCCTTTCGACCCTTCCCCCCTCCTGCGACAATAGACACATCCATGCCTGTATTCCGTGTGACCCCCTCTCCCCCCCCCCCTGCCCGGATCGCTTGTGCTGCTCGCCCCTTCCTCCTCGCCCCCCCCCCTCCGGCCTTTCGAAGCACGTGCCCCCCTGCGCACACACATCCGACCCCACACCCGATGGCCTCGCCCCCGCTCCAGCCGTCGGCCGCGGTGCGTCTGCCGCCCGACCTGATGCGCGATCTGGAGGCTGAGGATCCCGAGCTCCGGAGTGTGGCCCAAACGCACGCGGCTGTGCACCAGGAGGTGCTCAACCTGATTCTGGCCTCCGGCAAGCTCGAGGGCGAGATTGAGTCGCTGTATGTGCTGGCATTGTTGCCTCCTGCCTCGCGCGTCGGCCGGGCCAGCGGACGGTCACTGACTTTGCTTTTCTCGCGCGTCCCCCGCACCGGGCCCGTGTGCCTTTCGTTTGTTTCCTCCCCTCCAGCAATGCCCAGCTGCTTGACGCCAAGGCCGACGCCCCGGCGTATTCCGAGGCCTTGACCCGACTGCTCCTTTCACTGGATCGCGCGGATGCCGAGGACCTACGTATCTCCGATGTGGCGCCCGTCCAAGCTGGGTATGTTCAGGAGAACCAACCTCGGATCCCAGGGAGTGGGGGGGGGGGGGG